CCAAGAAACTCCAAAAACAGCTGAAAACCACCAAAAATATGCACATGTATGCAAATGTATACAATTCTAAGCTAAATGCATGCTATGTTGATTCTAAGTGCAAATGATACTAAAATGCTAAATTATAATGCAAAAACAGAGGAAAAGATGCATGAATAGCAGCCTAAAATGATCTAAAATAGCAAGCTATCAATTTGTCATCTAAGGACATTATATTCGACCCTCCCCACGTCCACAGAAGTCTAGACGAGCCATGCTACACCAGATCAAGTCATTAGCCGCTCCCCATTATCAGAAGTCAAAGAAAATCAAGCCAAAGAGAAGTTTTCCATACTTGAACTTAATTATCTTGGTTTAAGGATTCTTGAAGACCAACAACCCCATTTCTCATTTAAGACCGACCATTCATCATTATTAGAAGATTCAACACAATTATTTCGAGCCAAAGACCCAACAGAAGTTCCCCATTCAGCGCCAAAGTCAAGACCAACCCCATTGAAGATTAACAGCTAGTAGAAGATTTTATCATCATTTCAGCTTAAGTCATGCTTTATTTTTAAAGCTAGTCACCGTTTTATTTACATTATTCTGAGTACTATATAAACTCAAAGTCCTTTGTATTTTCATTTACCAAGTTTTTGTTCAATCAAAGTATTATTTTGTTTCAAAGAAAAGTCTATCTTTTGAATCAAATCTGTTCCTGTGATTTCTATTCTTGTGTTTGTGGAATCAAGCTTGAAGAATTTCGTGTGAATCTCCTAAGCTCTTGTGAGGATTAGCCATTGAGCTAGAAGAGTCTAACCTTTGGTGTTTCAGGTCATCAACCACACCCTGACTTTCCATCATTCAAGTCATTACTCCATCCTCTTAAGCTATAAGCAATGATTCAAAGAAGCTTTACTTGAACCCCATTTCAAGTAGATTTTATCATCATTACAGTTTAAGTTCTGCTTTATTTTTAAAGCTAGTTACCGTTTTATTTACATTATTCTGAGTACTATATAAACTCAAAGTTCTTTGTATTTCCATTTACCAAGTTTTAAATCAATCAAAGTATTATTTTTTTCAAAGAAAAGTTTATCTTTTGAATCAAATCTGTTCCTGCGATTTCGCTTCTTGTGTTTGTGGAATCAAGCTTGAAGAATTTCATGTAGAATCTCCTAAGCTCTTGTGAGGATTACCCCTTGAGCTAGAAGAGTCTAACCTTTGGTGTTTGAGGTCGTCAACCACACCCTGACTTTCCATCATTCAAGTCATCACTCCATCCCCTTAAGCTAGAAGCAATGATTCAAAGAAGCTTTACTTGAAACCCATTTCAAGTCTTGTATCAGGAGGTCGAAAGACTCTCTTGCCAGGTACAATTCAAGGTGAAGAGTTACTTATCTTGGCTGGCATTCTCTTGCCCATTGACTAGGAAAGACATCTCCGCAAGATGCTGCTCTCTAGTTGTGCTACTAGAACTTGTCATGATTGGTGGCCTTCTTGAGGAAGATAGCAGTGGGATCTCCGATTTTTCATTGTGCCTCCACCATTCTCCCTTCTTCTGAGCCTTCTTGTGCTGTTTATACTCATTGTGCGTCTCTTCGAACTGGGTACATCAATCCTATTGGTCAATCACGTCATCATGGAAATATAGGGAGACCTTCTCCTCTGGACTACCTCTCTGTTTGCGGCGCACGCCGCACCCAATCATGAAATCTACCAGGAGTTAGTATATAAGCAAGTTACTCTGTCGATGTGGTGCTTCCTGTTTAGTTGTGGTATAATCAGTCCTAATACTAATATACATTAGTATTTTAGGGTATTTTAGATCACTAACTAAAAATAGAATTTTTTTTTACTATTTTCATGGTATTACTATGGATATTTGCATTAATACTATTTACTATTTATAGGACAAACCATTACTACTGATTATCAAGGATTTATCGTAAAAAATCCATGTTGAGATCATAAAGCTAAAAATATAGAAAAAAAAATATTTTGAAATTATTTTTAACTTTTGATTATTATAATAAAACTATTTTTGACATGATATTTAGATAGAAGGTAAGGAAGAATATGTGAAATTAGGAGTCCAATGGTTTTATCATCCATAAGATGTGGATAACAAAAAAATGTGTTAAAAACTGGAAATACAAAACATTCAAAGAGACATTTTCTACAGTTACCATCACGATGAAGTGGTTGCTAAATCTGTGAAAAAAAATGTTTGCATTGTGTATTTTGTGCTAGAGAATAAACAAGTCACAAACCATAAACTTTCTTGTGCAAAAAGTCTATAATATAAAAAATAAGAAGCTGAGAAAGTTCACTCTTAAAGATTTCAATGAGCAACAAAAACTTAAGATTGATTTGCTTGTGGAAAAGATGATACCAGAAGTTGATCTTCCTGACATTCATAAGAAGAAAAACACTTTTATATCAAAGTGTATGCAATCAGTTCCGGAAAGGTTCAATAAAACAATTGAGAGCATAACACCTGAAAGCATTATGACAGTTAATGCACCAGATCATTTTGTAGGAAGAACACTCTCAAGAGTTGGTGGTCTTAATGACAATCAAAAGGAAAGACTTTGAAATTAAGGTTTATTATTCAAGATTAGTTAATTTAATTTTTTGGTTTTTATTTAAATGTATACTTATGTTGTTTTGAATATCTTAAATTTGGTAAATATAACATTCTAAAATATGCAATATTAATTGCTTTAGGAATTGATAATAAAGTTATAAATGTGTGAGATCCGACATTGATGTTTGATGATTGAACTTTACATTTTGTTTGATTATAATAGAAATAACAATATGTAAAGAATCATAGAGTCGAAAACTACCAATAAAACTTATATTTACATACAATAATAAATGATTTTACAGGCTAAAGTGACTAACATTTTTGTTTTCTTCGCTCAGAACGTCACAGGATTATAGTACTATTGGTTCTCATCAAAAATTAATTATTGAAGATATATGATACATCCAATTACAAAAGTGTTATGCATTGAGATTTTTTAAATTTTTGAATAAGTTACTAAAACTTTAGTGCTACCTTGACTTTCTTAATTTATCTTAATTGTTTACAGCAGGATTTAAAATAATATTTTCTTTTTAGAATATGATACATATCACATTTCCATTAAAGTTTCTTTTATTAAACTTTTTGTATTTTTAGAGTATTAATGTTTGAAGTTTTTGATAAAAATAAGTTAAAAATTAGTATTTTGAAGACTGTCCAGATTTCTGATACCAGAAATTTTGCATCAAATGGATGATTTTCTTGAAGTTTTTCTCAATATTAAGACTATTAAGGTTATTAGTTTAATTATCCAGTACTAGAACAAATATGTTTAGACTGTTTAAAAGGAAGATTAAAATGGTAGTTTCTACATTTGTTGACTGACTACTCAGTTTTAGAAAGACATTTTTGTATAATGTAATACAACTAAACATTTCTAGTATATTGGAATTACATTTATATTAATTTTGACTCTAAAACTTCATTAATAGATCAAATCTAGTATCAACATAGTAAGTTTATAGTATCTTTGACTTAAAATATATCTTAAACTAATTATTTGGTAAATAAATTCTAGTATATATATCAAAATGCACCCATAAGATTCTTAAAACAAGTTTTAAAGAGAAACTCTCAAATATTAACAGTAAACACAGTCTACGATTTATTCTATCTATTTCTACAAGAGTCTTTATCTATGGATTATGAGTTCAAAAGATATAAAAAGAAAAACTTGTATTGGAGGCACTCACATCAGGTACAAATGTTTTGGTTTATAAAAATATATATTTTTCCTCTAGATAACGATAATTTATTCCTTTGTAGAGTTTAGTAGTGATCAAATTTTTAGAGTTACTCAATTACTCATTCATTTATATAATGTGATATAAATTATGTTTAGAATGGATGATTGGCATATATAAGTATAATTATCCTAAAGCCATGAAAAAATATCACAAGTATCATTATCCTAAAATTAGCATATACTATGACAATAAGATCATTATAACTTATATACTTTAGATGGTTCAGACTATTTTAGAACTCAAAACTATAACAGTGGTGTTTTGTTTTTAATTTAATTTTACTATAATACTATAAGTAAATAATATTACAGTAATTCAACTTTAATTCAACAAATGTTATATAACTTTATTGTAGTTCAACTTTTTGGATTCCTGAATTACTCATGCATTTATCTAATGTGATATAAATTATGTTTAGAATGGATGATTAGCATACATAAGTATAATTACCCTAAAAGTAGCCATGAAAAAGTATCACAAGTATTATTATCCTAAAATTATCTTATACTATGACAATAAGTATCATTATAACTTATATATTTTAGATGGTTCAAACTATTTTAGAACTCAAAACTTTAACAGTGGGTGGTTTGTTTTTAATTCGATTTAACTGTAATACTATAAGTAAATAATATTACAGTAGTTCAACTTTAATTCAACAAATGTGATATAACTTTACTGTAGCTCAACTTTTTGGATTTCTTGAATTACTCATGCATTTATCTAATGTTATATAAATTATGTTTAGAATGGATGATTGGCATACATAAGTATCATTACCCTATAAGTAGCTATTTAAAAGTATCACAAGTATCATTATCCTAAAATTAGCATATACTATAACAATTAGTGTCATTATAACTTTTATACTTTAGATGTTCCAGACTATTTTAGAACTCAAAACTATAACAGTGGTGTTTTATTTTTAATTCACTTTTACTGTAATACTATAAGTAAATTATAATATGAGTTATATTGATATATAAAGTTATCCTATCATTCACACACTATCGTTGATTTTACTAAATATTGATGATATAGTATTATAGGATTGATGTTAACATTTGTTATTCTTTTTTTTCTAATCATTCGTAATAAAAATAATGCTGACTAAGCAATTGAATCAAAGCGTCTAATATTAAAGATGAAAAAAATGTTCAATTGTCGAGGTTAAAAGTTGTGAAGTTGAGTACCTAAGGAATGGAGATGAAACAAAGAAAACGAAAGAAAGAAAATGCGGAAGAAACATTAATGAACAAAAAAATGAGCTAGAGTGGAAACCAGAGCATTGTGCACACCTGATTGGCAAAGTGATTAAGCTTACTGATGAGCAAGGAAATAAGAAATGCTATTACGAGAGATTTAAGTTTCGTGGCGAAAAATATGGACTAGTAATGTATTTTTTTTAAGATAATATAAATTTAAAATTTTTGACTATATATTATAATTAGTTCTAGTTTTTAAAACTTGTTTCCAAATACAAAATAAAATAAAAAAACACCATAATATATAAAAATACATAAATTATTGTTTATAATTTTTGACATGGAAAAAATAGTAATTAGTTACCAGCTATACTACAATATATAATAATAAAAAATAATCCAAAACCTATATCTTAGATAGCTTGTGCAACACACAAGGCCTCAGTAGTACACTAATATTGTGAGAAAGTTTTAAATGACAAAATAAAGAAAAACATTTTTTTGGATTTAATTACTTCTGAAGTATTACTATGGTTATTTCTATTAAAATTATATTTTATTATATTATGCAATAGGAGCACTCTGTGCTATTATTTCCAGAGGACGCGTCAAAAGAACCCTATGTTGCAATCATAAAGGTAAAATTGTAGAAGAAAAAAGTTTTTACATGATTCTAACTTTTGATCATCATAATCAATCTATTTCTCGATAAGATATTTATGTACAAGGTATGGATGGATATGTGAAACTAGAAGACCAATGGTTTTATCGTCCATAAGATGTGGATAAAAAATATGTTAGAAACTGGAAATCCAAAGACGCAAGAGACATCTTCTAAAGTTTCCATCGCGATGAAGTGTTTGCCGAATCTGTGAAGAATGAATGCTCTGTGTATTTTGTGCCAGAGAATAAGCAAGTCACAAACTATGGCTTTATTGTGCAAAGGGTTTATAATACTAAAAATAAGAAGCTGAGGAAGTTAACTCATCAGGATTTTAACAAGCAGCAAAAACAATAGATTGATATTCTTTTGGAAAAGATGATTTCAAGAGTTGGTGATCTTCTTGACATTCAGAAGAAGCCACACACTAGTATGTCAAGGCGTATGCAGTTAGTTTCAGAAAAGTTCATTAAAAAGGTTAAAAGAACACAACCTGAAAACATTATTGCGGTTAATGCACCAGACCTTTTTGAAAAAAAAAATACACTTTTAAGAGTTGGTGGTCATCCTGACAACCAAAAGAAAGAAAAGACTTTGAAATCAAGACGTAAACAATTTACTCTGGAAATATCTATTATTCAAGGTTTGTTAGATTTTGTTTTTTCCTTCAATTTTTTTTGTATTTATTTTGGTGTGTGCATATGCTGTTTATATATCTAAAACTTAGTGAATATGACATTTTAAAATATGAAAATATTATTGGCTTTAAAAATTGATAAAAGAGTTATAGATGTGTGAGATCCAATATTGTTGTTTGATCATTCAACTATACATTATGTATAATTATAATATGGAATCAATAATATATGAAGTATTATAAAGACGAAGACTACCATAAAGAATATAGTACATTTTTCTTTAGGAAATATTATGTAATTTACTGTTAGTTAGGTTTTCTTAAACTCATACCATTTAATAAAGCATTATATCATTCCTTAGGTACTTATTTTCTTTAAAGAAGTAGCAAAACTAAAATTTAGTTTAGGTTTAGAAATATTCAGTATTGTAGATCATTTACAATACATTATAATTGTTTGATCGTATAGCTTACTAATACTCCCTCTGTTCATAATAAGTGTCATTTGGAGAAAATATATCTGCAATGTATCTGGATGTATTAAACTCAAAACACATCCAGATACATCCAGTTACAATGCAGATACATTTTCTCCAAATGGCACTTATTATGAAACGAAGAGAGTATTAGCTAAGCATTTTCAATAATAAATTATAATCTAAACATGATCTTGCCTAAATGTTTTTTATTCTTACACTTTCTCCGTATACTTTTTTTTTGTCAACAGCCTCATCCTTATAACGATTCCGGGATCCAAACTGGTGGGGTTGAGTTTACATAATTTAAGCTATAAAGGTAGTCTCGAGCACTTCGTGCTAGCTTGTCTGCCTTTGTATTTTGAGCTCGTGCGATATGTGAGAAAGAAAAGAACTGAAATTCTTTTCTGCTGATCTCTTATTCCTCCAAATGTAACGAAGGCCGGCGATTCGTCTGGTTTGGACACCATTTTAACCAATTCTGAACAGTCTGTAACGAATGCCATCGCCAATCTTCATGCATTGAGCATGCAATGCCTTGCCCAAATTAGAGGCTCCAGCTCAGTGTGTAGCGGAGAAATACTTCGCCGTACATTTTGCCCCCATTTGCGTACCTGCTGATCCTACTCCTGGACAGTACCAGCCCAACCCAGCATTGACTGATGATTCCTTCCAGGACCCGTCTGTATAACATATTAAGCCGTCGGTCCTTGTGTTTGCACTTAGGTTGGAATTGGATTTTGCAATTGTTCTGGATCGACTTATGCAAAGCCCATGCTATTGCCTCTGCTTGTTTGATTCTGAACACTTCTCTTTGATCCCGATCAATATTCGAATATATTTTATCATTTCTTGATTTCCAGATGTACCAAAGAATCCAAGGGAAAACTTCCATTTCTTCCGTATTTTGTAGTAGCCAAAAATGGTGTGCCATATTCCGACGTCGGCGTTGGGATCACGACAATGCCCACACTTGGAGAGATGGTGGGCATTCAAATAAAGTGTGATTAATTGTTTCCCGGTCCGCGCCGCATCGTCCGCATTGTGGGTCATGAGTAATACCTCTACTATATGCATCCGGAAATGACTTGCCACATAAAGTGCTTCATTTTGGGGAGGCATTTAACCTTCCAAGCATAGATGACTCTGCAGATGATTTATATTTGGTCTATAATATTTTATTGCATTGTCACCTTTGTAATCCTGTTCCGTGTTGTATCCCGACTTAACCGTATATATTCCCAGTTTTGTGAAAAACCATATACATATATGTGGTATGTGTCCTCTACTTGTGGGGATTCCCGTAATATATGGAATATACTCTGGAACGATGAGTTGTTCGATGAGCGGTACGTTCCAGATTTTTGTTGAAGAATCGATCAAATTGTTGACTTTAAGGTTGGGGTACAAATTGTAATTCTAACATGTTGTTGACCTCGGGCGAGTACCGCTATCCATGGGTCATTCCAAACGGAAATAGAGTCCCCCAAGCCTCCCCTTTTAATTAGCCCTTTTTTTAACCAGAGATCGAGCTGAAATGATACTATGGCATCCATAGGATGCTGAGTGCGAGCGAATAGGGTCTAAGGGACCCCCATTTCGATAGTATCGCCCTTTGAACACTTTCACAAATAATGAATTTGGGATGGTCTATGAGGCGCCACAATTGTTTCGCCAATATGGCTGTATTGAAATCATTTATTTTCCGAAAACCTAGACCTCCTTCCGTTTTATGTTTGCATAGTTTATCCCATGATAGCCAATGCATCCCCCGATTTTGACCATTAGTACTCCACCAGAATTGTGAGGCAGTGCTGGTGAGTTTTCTGGTGATTGCCTTTGGCAAACGAAAGCATGACATAACATATGTTGGCGTTGCTGAAGCTACTTATTTGATCAACACCTCCTTCCCTCCCATAAAAAGGAGTCTCAAAGTCCAACCGCTTACCCGTTTCTGTTGTCGTGCCACGAGAAAACTAAAAATCTTAGTCTTTGCACCCCCCAGACTTTCAGGTATCTCTAAATATATGCCCATTCCACCAACATTTGTTATTTGTAATGCTTGGTGTATATGTTCCTTAACTGCTGGTTCTACCGTATGCCTAAATTGGACCGAGGATTTTGCGAAGTTTATCTGTTGTCCTGAGACAGCTTCATATTGTTTTTAAAATAATTAGTAAGGCATCTGTCTCCTCCTTTGTTGCGTTACAAAAAAATAGGCTATCATCCGCGAAAAATAAATATGAGACCCCAAGGTAACGCGAGCCACCTTCATCCCTGTGATGAGCTTCATTTGTTCTGCTTTTTTCACACTCGCTGTTAACACCTCCGCGCATAGGATAAAAAGTTATGGAGATAACGGGTCACCCTGTCTGAGTCCTCGCTTTGGTGTTATATGTCCTCTCGGCTCCCTGTTGAGTAGAACCTTATATTGGACGAATTGTATACTCCACATTGCCCACGATATCCATTTTTCAGCAAACTCCATTTTTTAAATCAAATGCTCAATAAAAGGTCCTTCGACACGATCATAAGCTTTACTCATATCTGTTTTTACCGTCATAATTTTTTTCAGATAGGATTTATTGGTCTGTAACCCCATGAAACATTTCATGGGCAGTCAGTATGTTATCCGAGATGAGCCTACCAGCAATGAACGTTGATTGCGTTTCAGAGATTAGTTTTGGTAAAAACTGTCGCAGTCGTTGACATAAAACTTTGGAAATGATTTTATAACCCACATTACCTAAACTTATCGGTCGCAGGTCCGACATTTTTGTTGGACATTCCATTTTTGGGATGAGACATAAATGTGTTATATTTAACCGCCGGTCAAAAAATACCCTAGCCAAGAAAATCATTAACCATTTGTACCACTTCTTGTTTTATAGTAGGCCATGATTTCTGATAAAAAAGCGCTGTTATTCCATCAGGTCCTGGTGCTCTTTCCGGGTGCATCATAAATAAAGCCGTAATTACCTCATTTTCTGTTGCCGGTTTTGTTAAGCCTTCATTATCCACCTCTGTTACCGTTGTTTGAACTTCCTTTAGTGCCTCCGTGAAGGATGTAGGACAGGTGGATGTAAATAATTCCGTGAAAGAGTCCACCACCACCTTCTCCACATTTTTCTCCCCCACCACCCATACACCATTGGTATTATATAAACCTACTATTCTATTTATTCTTTGTCGTTGTTTCGTTGTCGCATGATAATTTTTTGTATTGAGATCTCCACTTCGGTTCCACAAGTTCCTACTTTTCTGTTGCCAAAATTCCTCCTCATCCTTATACGCTTCTTTTAGTTTCTGAGTGATATCTAAAACCTCCTCTTGTGTTCTTGTATCGTCGTTTTGGACATTTTCTAGACACTGTTGAAGCTGTTCTATAGTGTCGTTCCTATATGATATATTTTTCTTTCGCCATTTCGAGATTTCATGTCTACAACTTGTAATTCTACCTACTATCGATTGCCTCTTCCATCCATCTAATTGCTGCCAACCGCATTGAATGGAATCCTTAAGTCCCTCTTTTCCAATCCATCGTTTATCAAACCGAAATTGTTTATGTCGTGGATATTGATTTGCTTGTACTGTTGCCATAATTGGTCTGTGATCCGAGTCCACCAGCCGGAGATATTCTACATAGGAATACGAGAACAAATCATGCCAGTTTTCCGTAGCCAAAGCTCTGTCTAATCTACACCGAATCGTTTGACCACTTCTTGGACCCCGCCATGATAGTTTATTACCTCTATTTTGGAAGTCTAGTAGACCACAATTACTTAACATTACATTAAAATCTACAAATGATGATGGTTGACAAAGATTTCCGCCTTGTTTTTCAAGATATCCTGTGATTTCATTGAAGTCTCCAATTAGAAACCATGGCTCATTCCTGGTGATCCATTCTTGTTAATCTCTCCCAAACTTGGTTCCTGAATTTTGTAACAGGATTACCGTATATAAAAGTCAAAAATAAGTTTTTCTCGTCATATAAAGTTCCAATATCAATCATCCATTTATTTGCAAATATGACTTGAACATCATAGTCATTATTATAAAATAAAGTTAGACCACCACTTGAACCGCATGGGTCCACCGTATACAATTTATTATAACTGAAATGAAATTGAAATTGCTGAATAAAAGAAAAACAATTTTTGATTTCTGAAAGAAAAAGAAACCCAGGTCTGAATTTCTTCCATATCTCCCGTAAATAACTTATTTTGTAAGGGTTACTGAACCCTTAACAATTCCAGCTTAAAATCTGCATAAAAACTAAGGGTGTCCCGTATCCATGGCCTCAGTGTTGGCCTTCGTTCCTTGTTCGCCTGGTGTATCTACCCCAAGGCGTCCTGTTATCTTGGATTGTCCTTTTCTCTTTGGTGAAATCA